ATTGACATAAATTACTGTTAATTATATTATTAATGATGAATATTTAATAATATTTATTATAAGTAGGAGCAATGAATAACAATTAATGTTAATCAAAATTATAATTAAAAAAATCTTAAAATCTCTATGAAACCGATTACCAAACATTTATCCGGGTAAGTTTTACCGACAAAATTCAACATTATCACTTACTTATCAGATAAAATTTTAATCTAGCAAAATGATGTCAAATGTAACAATTTATCTAGTAAGTGCTAAGTGATAACCGTGATAAGAGTAATTGCTCTCACTTAACAGGTAAAACTTTTGGTACTTGTTTTTGTTTGTTCTTACCGGTTAAGATTCTTGGTATTTACCATATTCATCCGATAAGGTAATATTACTTGATAAGTGCTGATCTGAATAAATGATTAGTAAACTGTCGTTGTATTCCTTTATCTAAATTCTAAAGGCGTCCCCTACTAAAATAAAATAAGGAATTGACGCATCAAAGATGAAAAGTTAAGCTTATAATAAATGTCCAACACATAATTAATCATCATAATAATGTCAGGATGCCAGCCAATTAATGCTCAATTAATGCAAATTAATACATATGGATACTTTCATGTGCACTCAAATAGTTAATTATTTTTATTTTATTTTTAATTAGAAAAAGATAAATCATATTTTTAACGGAGGATAAGGGAAGACTTTGGTTGTATGCATTCACCTGACCTTTAATCATTAATTAAGGTCCAAATTCTTAAATATATCAAACTACACATGATTTCTTGATGACTCATCATCTTTCAAAATCAAAAATGTATAATTAAACACTAATTTGTCTCAATCATGACGTCTAATAATTAATCTTGTTTTGTAATATATGGTATTTTTAAAAAAAGCAAAATTGGAATATATAAAAATAACGAAGAGATAAATCTAACTTTTTTCAAAAGGCGATATATGTTTGCTTTTGGATAAAACTTGAGATCAATTTGTTTTTGTGAAGATTTGTGAGACAACTTTTATAACATTTTTTTTACCTTTACAATGTTTTGCTGTGAAGTTTTAAATGTAAAAAAATAGTCTTACGAAAACATACTGGTATCACATGACCCCAACTCTTTTGAGTGATGTTATATATACCTTTATTATATCAGAATTAAATTAAACCATGCATTGAAAACGTAGAACGTAAGATTTAATGTGATATCAAAGGGCCTTTGACCTAACGGTATCATAGTTTTTTGCCTCATAGGAGGTCAGAGGTTCAAACCTCACTAAATATGATGAGAGTGTGTGATTTTATTTGTTCTATTTTGCTTTATATAAATATTATATATACTTCAAAAAAAAAAGATTTGATGTTGATATATGTTAGAAAAAAACAAACATTTAACAATGTACAGGGGTGTATTTAGTCCATTCTTTAATTTTCTTTTTCTCCAAATAGCGATTTGATTAATAAGTATTTAGGGGTTTAAAATATAAAATATAAACCATATTATTCATACAGACCAACCAATTACAACTTTTTAAATGAAAACGATGAAAGTTTATTTATTTTGATTTAAATATTAATGAAAGATGATAAAAGCTTATTAATTATGATCAACACTTTATATTAGAAAATTAACAAGTTGATATATTTTTAAAATCATGTATTTAATTTATTAGAGTAGATATACAGTTAAGATTATCTTATATGATTTGTATTTGAAACTATCTTTAAACGTTTATTTATCTAATATTTAAGTAAATTTAACAACTTATCAGGTAATATAAAATTTATATAAATAAACATTAAAATTACCCCCTCAATTCAAAAAATCATTTTCTTTTTATGGATTGTATGAAAAAACCGTAACAATTTTGTTGGTATTAATAATTATCACTTGATATTTCTAATTTTGTTTGTGATTCACGATTTTATTATGATGATTATTATTATGGGATATTTTAGATATTAAATTGATTGAAATATATTTTTATAAAATTACATATTAATACAAATGTTGCATTATTTTTTAAAATTAAAACAACTGCTATCAAAAAGAAAATTCTATTAATGTCTAATCCGCTATGCGAGTCCTAATCCTAGGGCAACCATCTACTTTCCGGGTAGCCCGGAGTCACCGCATTTAAACTTCCGTGATCACAAGAGAATTTTCATTTCTCCTTGAATTTAAACCTGAGATCTTCATGTACTTTTGACATTCGGATCCCAATCTCAAACCAATCAGACATCATTCTTGTGATAATAACATTTTTTAGACAGATCTTAACAGGTTATAAACCATGATAATAATAACGTATTAAAATAAAACTACTAAATTATAAATAACTTATTTTAATGAACTCAAATGTGTTACTAACATATATAAATGCATTTAAACATCACATGATTTTATGTGGTATTTAGCTTCAAGAGAAGTGGTCCAAACTATAATGTTTGGGACCTCCTTTAATTATGAAGTGATTGTGTGTTGGATTTCTTTTCCTTGGTTTCAAATAAATAAAAATAAAATAACATCGCTTAAAATATTATAACGTACTTAATGGTCGACGTACCCATATATACTTTTTACGTACAAATCCTGTCCTACAAATGCTATCCACGGGATTTCTCGAGATGTAATAATTATGCCAGTCAAATGGCTTTGTACCAACCACTATTGTAACTTCTTATCAGACTTCACCGACATTTTTCGTTATTGTCGACAGATTCACTTAAAATGTTACAGACACTTCATTTGAAAGCCTCATTACTCTCCATAAAATACGCATGCCCTACCAGCCTAACTGATTATACGATGATTGACTTCGATACTGTTTTTTTACATGAGTCTACGTCTTTTTGTCTTAACTTTGTTACCAGTATGTGCATCTTCTCTCTGGTCATCATTTTCTAGAAATGCGTGATCGATCATCTGATCATTATACCATATCGATTTAATGGGTCCAAAATTTCTAAAAACCGTATGTGAAAGCATTAATTGACGAGAAAAGGAAATTCTTAAAGATTTTCGACAAAATACAAAATAAATAAAAATAAAAAAACAAAAAACCCAATGAGGACCACTCATACCACTCTTTAGAAGCTACGCCAAATGTCCCGATTATTTGCCATAAAATAAATAAAAAATAAAAATATATAAACAAAAAGAACATTTGGGACTTGACCATCGGTGGCGTTTGTCACATCATAACAAAACACCAATCGAAGTACAAGTGTTGATGCATGTGGTACAAGTCATCGATGCGCCGTGAATCTGGATTGTGTGATTATAGATCTGGTAAAAGAAGTGACCCAAAATAAATAAGTCTACCCCAATCCAAATCCAAATGCAAATGCAAATCACTGGATCCCTTTTTTCTCCTCTTCTTCTTCTCCTTCTTCTTCCAAAAAAGGCTGTGTGTTTTCTTCAAGTTTAAGTGGCAAATTTGTAAATTTGTAGCAGAAGCAAACTCAAGTTCTTGAAGATCATCATCCAAAAAGGCAAGAAATCAAGAAAGCATGCTTGCCAAAAGGTACCTTCAATTCATCCTCCATTACCCAATCTATACATACATGATATATATATATATATATATATATATCATCTTTGATCATCTATAGACAATCTTTGTTTAACATCTATCAAAATTGAGTTTTAAAACATACTTTTATTAGGTGCTCAATTCATCCAAATTCCATATCTTGAATTTAGATCAATGAGTATGTGTGTATGTATATATATATATATATATATATATATATATATATATATATATAGACTTCTCAGGTCTTTATGTATATTATTTTGTGGAAACCTTTATTTCTATTATTACAATATTGATTTTTTTGTTTATAAAAGATGTTTAAAAATATTTGTAAACAAGACACTGAGTAATACAACATTTTTTGTTTTTGGTTACATTTTTTATTCAATAACTTTTGTTTATATAATTTATGACATTTTATCATCTCCTAAATAATTGAATATTTTTTTATTAAATTATATTAAAAATTCAAAAAAAATTAACTTTATGACCATAAAATATGTATGGTGGCCATTGTTGAACAGCCTTCTTTTTGTTCATGGAGGAGGGTAAATTGGGAATTTGTCATCTTTGCATGATATGATATTAGAGTTTCCACCATGTAGTGGTTTATAAGAACAACTTTATGTAATTTTAGCCACATCAGCATCCAATTATATGGTACAACAAACTATATAAAACTCCATTACAATGTATGTTTCGCTAATGCTAAGGAATAAAAATGTGAATGAGAATAAAATGAATTTTTATTTCTCCCAGTTTAATTATAAATAAAATTTTAGGCTTTTGGAGGATATATTATAGAAAACCAAACAATTTTTTTTATTTTCATTTTCATTTTCATTGATTTAATAAAATTTTAGGCTTCCAGAGGAACTTGAGTTCTTAATTAAGAACCTCGTTTTTGTAAGAACCTTCCGGTATGGATTTGTTTATAATAACTTCATGAAGAACCGAAATAAAACAACCGTTATAAATACTTTTTATGACGTTTAAATATGATATTCTTTTAGACGATATAACATTACATAGTTGGGCATGGTTACAATTTGTATTGTTTTTATATTAAATTGAAATAAAATTTGGTGTAATTAGTATTTATTCTTCAGTAATTACATTATTTTTAATATCAAATATAATATTCTACATATTGTTAATTTATATAGGTTTTTAATCATTTTATATCTACTAAAAAATCACATAAAAGTAGGATTTAGAAATGTGATCTCAGTGAATATTCGGAGTTGGAATCTTGGGATTTCATAAGGATTTAGAACTCTTATGGAGGTAGTTGTTATTTTGGAAGATTTTATAGAATTTATTTGTAATAATGTTTTAAATTATGTTAAGAACGGTTATTTTATACTTATTAATTAACAAAAAAAGTAATTATTAATTTTTTGTAATATTTATAATTTGTTTTTATAAATAATGAAATTCAATTTTATTCCAAATCTTATAAACTAAATACACTAAACATTAACTCGGGTAAGTGCTTACGGTAAAATTTAACATTATTATTTACTTACTGGGTAAGATTTTAATCCATCAAAATAACATTGTATGCAACAATTCACCCGGTAAGCATTTACCGTGGTAAAAGTCGTCACCCTCACTTACTGGGTAAGACTCATGGTCCTTATCTCGTTCTTACAGTGTAAAATTCTTAGTTCTTACCATATTTATCCGCTGAGGTAATGTGACTTGGTAAACGTCCCCTTAATTGCTCTTCATATCAATGAGTAGAATGTATAACTCAATTAATTAAGATCCAAAGCCCCAAATTATTGATCTTTGGATTCCTAGTCAAAAAATCCTATCTTAAACCTCCAATCGAGATTGAACTTTGAATTCTTGGTTTAAAAAACCCTTATATCTTAAATCTCCAATCGAATAATTGAAATTTAAATTCTTAGTCTGAAAACCCCCACATTATTGGTCTTTGGATTCCTGGTCGGAAAAACCCATATCTTCAATCTCTGACCGAATGATTGAACTTTGAATTCTTAGTTTAGAAAACCCCCAAATTATTGAACTTTGGATTCTTAGTTAGATTCCCATTCCATTTGATTCAATTAATGGGTTGTATTGAATGGTATGTAACACCTCAAAAACCAATGCAATAGACTAGTCCAATAACTTCGAATCCAACTTAAAACCACATAGAATTGGTAGTGCACAATTTAAGGCTTATAAGGAGCTCACAAATCTCATTTTCTATCCAAGTAGGACGAGTTGTTACAAGTTCCCCCACTTAAACTCCTAATGTCTTTGTCAGGCCTGCCAAAATCTTCCTCCTTGTAATCAACGATATATGATTCGCCTAAGATGTTACAAATACCCCCCCCCCTTCGAGGAGTTGTTACAAACTCCCCCACTTAAACTCCTGACATCGTCGTCAATTCTACCCAGAATCTTCCTCCTTAAAATCGACGATGTGGGATTCGCCTAAGATGTTACAAATACCACCCCTTGAGAACTCATCATACACGATGAGGTCTTCCCTACCATCCTAACAATACAAGGATTGACTCTCACACCATTTGTAACATCCCAAATCCTAAAACAATAGACTAGCCCAAAAACTTCTAATCAATGGTATTTTGAAGAGTAATGGATGGAAGGGGAAGTCGGGGAACAACAATGATGGATGAGGGAGAACGACGAGAAGGGAACAACAACAGTGATGGAGGAGGGAGAACGACGAGAAGGGAACAACAGTGATGGAGGAGGGCACCAACAAAGAGATGAGAGCAAGAAAGCAACAACGGATATAAACAGGTCTCATATCTTCTTTTTTTGGAATGTATGATGGAGATGCTAAGGGTTAAAGGGTATTTTAGGAAGAGTTGTGGCTCGATGCGTAAAAGATAGGGGAAATTTCGAAAAAATTAAGCCAAAATGCCTAATTACTTATTAGGTTGTAACAAGTAATTATATATGAACCACAAGAGTGGTGTCTGATTGGTTTGAGCTTGGCTCCAAAGGTCAAAAGTATCAGAAGGTATCAGGTTCAAATCCAATGAGGAATAAAATTCCTTTGTGGTCACGGAGGTTCAAATGCGGTGACTATGAGTTATCTACAAAGCATATGGTCGCCCTGAAATTAATCGGCTCGTATAACGGGTTGAATATTCAGGTTAAAAAAAAGTAATTATATATGGTGATCAAATATGCTCTCCATACCATCAAGTTTATTAAATTACGAATAAACAACCCTTTATTGTATTTAAACCGTACTAATTAAGTTTATAATCATAAAGTTCACGAATTCGTATATTTAAATTTAGCAAAATCATTCTTGAATACAAAACGTGACTCATAATAGATATTAATAACAATGTACAATTGCCAATAACGATTTTGAAATTGTTAGTTTTATACGTTTATATCTGATTTTCATATTCTACAGTCAATTTGTTACAACTTTTATGATTCAAATTTTTATTGGATAACATTTTAAATTAGCAATTAGTATACATTATACAACATATAAGATAACATTTTAAAAATTACATTAATATTTAACTTTATATATTTTTTAAATATTTAATTAATAATATATTTTTAGAATGTTATCTAATATTTTTTAAAATATTTAATTAAGCATCGCCTCTCAATAGTAAAGGTAAATATACTAATTTGGAAACATTGGACAATTTACTTTATACCTATTATTATGTCGGTTTCAAGTCTGATTTTATTTGTTTTTTATATAAAAAATTTAATTATTATCTAATATATCTTTTTGGGAAAATTATAATAGCTTATTTAATTACTAATTAATATATCTGTTAACATATATTTAATTGTTGATTAATTTATTTTTTCAAAATTTGTCTGTAAAATACTTAAAAAATATTTAACTATTAATTAAATAGTTTTTTAAGTTAACAAACTTCACTTTTTTTATTCATATATGTATGTGTAAAAGGTATTTAAAGTATCTAGATATTGGTAGCCAACTTGTTTGGTCAATAGAAATAGAGATGAATATAATTTCTTTTTTAAATATTTTGATTTTTGATTTTTTATTTTAAGAAATTTTGATTTTTGATTTTTTATTTTAAGAAATTTTGAAGAATCTCTTGTAATACTTTGACATTCTCTCTCATCTTTTCTCTATTTTTAGCATACAATATAACATTTTTAATGGAGCAAGAAATTATTAAAGTTCTTTTTTTTCTCTATTTTAACATAGCTATTAGAGATATTCTAATAACATTTCCCACAGTTAAATTTAAAATAAAGTTTCAAAAATTAAAATCTTAAAAAAATTGTATATAACTTTAACAACTACTTTATTTTAGTAACTCTAACATTAATTATATTATTAAAATATATAATACATTTAATTAAATATTATTTTTCTTTTCTAGACACTTAATTTTATTATCTCCTGTTGCCTATAAATAATTAAATATAATTCATTTATCTAAAATTTAGAGCTTACAGATTTCTATCTTTTTATTAATATATAAATATCTATACTATATTATAAAGCATTTGATAAAAACTTTTAAAAACAAGTTTTTATGTATGAAGTACTGTATATTGATGCGTATTACTTAAAATTCGAGATTACAAGAAAATTATGCATAAGTACAACTTATTAAAGCTCCATGTTTGAATTCGTGTAATTAACCGTGGATAAACATAATCAAATAGAAGATAAACGTCTCATTTTAAAATATTAAAAATCTAAAATATAATTAAAATAATTGTCGAGTTCTAACTTTATAAGAAAATTATATTATTAAACCAAATATAAATTACTTCATTATTGAACATAAATTAAATAATACAATAAAAATCGAGTTCTAACTTTATAAGAAAATTATATTATTAAACCAAATATAAATTACTTCATTATTGAACATAAATTAAAAATTACAATAAAAATTGAATTAAAAAATTATACAAAAAACGAGAATTTTTAAATAGTTAATTTGATATTAATATCGATATTTTTTTAAAGTTGTATGATA